ATAGAAGGTGCTTGCTCATTTGCCTGTTTTCCTTTCCCATTCCCTTATTTTTCCTGCCCGGCAAATGCCCTTCCTGCCCTATAATAATATATGAGTGTCATAACTATAAAGGGAAGGGTAACAGCTCTCCTGTGTACAGTACTAAAATCCCTCCTGGCCAGAGACTCCAAAATCCTTTTACCTGTAAAGGGTTAAGAAGCTCGGGTAACCTGGCTGACACTTGACCCAAAGGACCAATAAGGGGACAAGATACTTTCAAATCTTGGGGGGGGGGAAAGGCTTTTGTTTGTGGTTTTTGTTTAAGGGGTTGTTCGCTCTTGGGACTGAGAGGGACCAGACATCAATCCAGGTTCTCCCCATCTTTCTAAACAAGTCTCTCATATTTCAAACTTGTAAGTAAAAAAGCCAGGCAAGGCGTCTTAGTTTTACTTTGTTTTCTCAACTTGTAAATGTACCTTTTACCAGAGTGTTTATCTTTGTTTGCTGTACTTTGAACCTAAGACAGAGGGGGGTCCTCTGAGCTCTTTAAGTTTGATTACCCTGTAAAGTTATTTTCCATACTGATTTTACAGAGATGATTTTTACCTTTTTCTTTAATTAAAAGTCTTCTTTTTAAGAACCTGATTGATTTCTCCTTGTTTTAAGATCCAAGGGGGTCTGGATCTGTATTCACCAGGAGTTGGTGAAGGGAAGGAGGGGGGGAAGGGTCAAATTCTCCTTGTTTTAAGATCCAAGGGGGTTTGGATCTGTATTCACCAGGGAATTGGTGAGAGGTTTCTAAAAGCTTCCCAGGGAAGGGAATGGTGGCAGCGGACCAGAACTAAGCTGGTAATTAAGCTTAGAAGTCCTCATGCAGGCCCCCACACTTGTACCCTAAAGTTCAAAGTGGGGATACAGCCTTGACAATGAGATATACCTATCTCAGAGAACTGGAAGGGACCCCGACAGGTCATCAAGTCCAGCCCCCTGCCTTCACTAGCAGGACCAAGTACTGATTTTGCCCCAGAGCCCTAAGTGGCCCCCTCAAGGATTGAACTCACAACCCTTGGTTTAGCAGGCCAAAGCTCAAACCACTGAGCTATCCCTCCCTATTCGCCTACCTGAAATGGCAGCAGGCAGCATGGCGCAGCTTCAGCCTCTGCCCAAGCCTCCCTCCTGCAGCACATTCAAATAATGAAAAAATAATTTGTGCGGAGTGCAACAGTTTATTAAGACAACATTTAGAGGGAAAGAAGTTTGGTTGTGTTCATAGTATACATGGACATCACATGCCTGGTAAAGGTGAAAACAGAACTCTTCCCTGATGAGATTTAAATGTCCTGTAATGTACATTCTAGCTGACAATCATTGCAGGACTCTATCTATTTTTCTTTGCACTTTATGTCTGCAATGGAGATAAAGCAGAACTTAAGACTGAGAAACTGCTCAATTTTGGTTCACACATTATAGGGAATTGGCTGCTCATTCCCCCAATATAGTTCACAAGCCCCTTCCACTCTTGCAGCACTTCTGGGATGACCATCCTGGTGAGCAACTTCAATGTATATCTTTCTGGTTTGCCCTTTGGCTTTTTGAATAAGACTATTCTCTGCTTTCTAGTCTCCCGCCTCTGTGTAATAGCATCAAGAGTCAGGGCAACCTAAAGCGGATGCAGAGGAGATTACTATCTGGCTTGGCACCCCGATGCCCTCCATAACCCCTCCAAACCCACAGATGCAACTCAAATGCACAAACAAAACTGGAGCATAATTCCACTCCCGCACCCCCATCCCCCACGCCACTAAGGCACAGTGGCAAATTGCATATGCAGCAGACAGTAAAGTCACATACACATACTAAAAAAAAAAAAAAAAAAAAGTCCTATCATGGACTGTCTGGAATATGAACAATAAGTGACTGTTTCCCCCCCACACACACTACCACATCACCTGCAATAGCCAGACCATCAAGGACAGGGCCTCTATCTACTGTTGAGAGGCTGGCCCACCTGAGGGGGCAAAAAAGAGACTCAGGAAGAGATGTTTGGTCAACTCATAGCAAAGTCCCAGAGAAAAAACGCATTGACTGAGAGGTAGAGGCAGTACATGATGAAGCAGAAAGAGAAAGAAATGTAGCTCTCCTAGGAGACTGTGGCAGTAGCCAAGGAAAACAATAGCCATGGCCAAGGAGAGCATGGAAAAAGACAAGCAGATATAGAGGCAACTCATAGACATTATCCAGTAGCCAGTATTGTCCAGAGGCTGAAGGACATGCTCCTGCTAGACCAGCAAGCCATGCAGTCCCATAGACTGGGACCCAGCATCTCCTTCAGCCTTCTGGACAATACTGGCTACTGGGACCAGCAGCAACTCCTTCCCATAAAACACACACAACACACGTCCCAAACACCATTCTCCTCTCAGGTCCATCATCTGCTCATCAAGAACACTGGCTCTTGGGAGCCAGCATTTTTGAGCCCTGCAACATACATGAAAATTTTGAGCAATAGCACTCAACCCCAGTATCCTTGCATACAAGAAGAGGCAGAGGGAATATAAGCCTGCAATTTTAAACCCTTCTTTCAACCTTGTTATTTTTGCAGATTGAATTGTTTGGTTTGCACTGTTGTTTTATATAAAGGTTTTCTTTTTGACGGTTAGTTGGTTGACAGTTTTGGTAAATGTATTTTCAAATAAAAAGGTATTATTTATCCATCAGTTCAATTAAAACTTTATTTTTGGCTTTGTTACTGTTGTTTCTAATAAAAATCGCTAAAAATCCATTTTGGTCCACTATGACTCATCATGGCATGTAACACAAAATCCTTTAAGTAAAGCTAAAATAATTCATTTGGTTTTACAAAAGTATATAGGCAATGTCCCCCTTCCATCACCATAAACAATACCGCACTACTCACAGCTATCCCAACCTGCCTCCATAGATTAGCAGCTGAATGTCCACACATGTTCAACCTTGCGATTCCAAACATGAACAAAAGGCATCCCTGACAATATTCTACTGGGTGTTAGTGTTCTCTATGGGATGCCTGGCTGCTTGCTTGAACCACCAAGTAAGTCTCTGCACCTCCGCCTACCATCCATTGCTAAGGCTATCCTCCTTGGTCTCACAGATATTGTGCACAACACAACATGAAGCTATAATGATTGGGGCATTTTTTTTCCTGATACTTTCATATGATTCCATAAGCAGTGCCATCTGCCTTTCAAATGACCAAATGCACTCTCAACCTCCATTCTGTACCTACTCAGGCAATAGTTAAACTGTTCGTTCCTTCTTTCCAAATGGCCTGTGGATAGCTTCATTAACCAGGGAATCAGAGGAAAGGAGGGGTGTCCCCGAATAACTGTCCCAACCTCCATGCCATTAATGCAGAATGAATGTCTCCCACCATTCTACATAGGTTGGTAGGGCCCAGAAATGGTACAGCTGGCACTTGAACCGATCCTCTGGTTCCAACAGCTCAGCATCCTCATTTTGATGCAACAGTTTTGCAGTGTTGTCCTGTTGCTGGAGGAGCCAGTGATGCTGCCATTGAATATTCTCCTGGACCCACAGCATCTGCTCGGTGGTGTGGCAGGGAAAGTCTAATGCTGAATGTGTCTGGGTTTGAATGCTGTAATACAGTCCAAGCAGCCTCTTTGTATTCACACTTGCCATGATAGTGGAGCTGTGAATTTCTGGGTCCATGCTAGCAGACAGCAATTTGAAAATTGTGCTAGCCCACCCAAGAAGCAAGCCTGGGGCGCAGGCAGCAGAAATATGGGCTTTAAAAAAAAAATCTAATCTCCCTGGCTTCTACTTTGAATCCCATGATTTACAGCAAGAACAGTCCAATGATGCACGCTGCTCAACCATGAAATAAAGGATCTAAGGATACCCCCCAAGAACACTACTCCCTCAGCTCACAGTAAACCACTGCTCTATGTTCACACAATGCGAATTGAAAATGGAACAGGCATCCTGTTCTCATGCTATTGATGTGACTTGTGTGCTGCGAGTTACCAAACCAAAGCCTACCGAGGTCACACATTACAGAGTTTTGGGATAACCTATGGATGTTAATCTCACTTTAACTGGCAATTTCCTTGATACTTAGAGATTACAGGTTTAAAGGAAATTCACTTGAAAAAAAGCCTTTAACTTTACATTACTTTGTATGAATTTCCATGTTTTAGAAAAAGTGTAAAAGTGGAAAGTAATTCTGGGAAGGGGGATGTAAAGGAGATGGGGACAGTAGAGCTGCTGGTTGAAAAAAACATGCTGGAGGCAGGGAAGACAGCAAAGCTGTCATGTGGTGGGTGGCTTGGAGGATCACAGGGTAAGCCAGAGACACTGGTGGGTAATGGAGAGGAGGATATGGGTAGTCTTGGGTGGGAGGACATAGGATATACCGGACCAGCCAAAAGCATGGGTTGTTAGGGCAACAGCATGGAGGTGGAGTAAGGATTAGTCAGTATAAGGGAGGCAGGAGGCAATGGAGGATGGTGTCCTGAAAAACATACAAAGTGCATGGGACAGCTTGGGGTGGGAGTGAGAAATGGAGTAGACAAGACTTGGTAGATGGATGCAAATTGGGAAGCAAGGTTCTCCTGGGGAAGCATACACTGGGAAGATAGAGATTGTGCTGAAATGGGGGGGGCACAGGGTTTGAGGAGCATAGAGTTGTTGGGAGGCAGTGAGTTGGTGGGAGATGTGGAGAGGCTATACTAGAGGCAACAAAGAAACCTTAAAAGCATTAAGTGATATACGTTAACTAAGAAGTGTGCTATAGTGCATCGGCTGAAGGGAAAATTAACAATAATATTGAGCTACTTCAACATGTGTTGTAAATTACTGGAGTATAATACAATTTAACGTTTCAAAGGCTTTAGCCAAAATACAAAGATGATCGCCACACGGAGTCATTTGTTTCAGCTGTTCAGGCTATAAATCATGTTAGTTTAGTGAAGAATTTTGAAGCATTATATAGTACAGTACATACATGGTTACAATAAACTTACATTTTTGAACAGCTGTTCTGCAAGCTCTCTGACGTGCTTCATCATTTTTGGTGGATTACCTTCCTCAGCTTTAATTCTTTCCACTTCAAAAGCTACCAACTTAAAAAAAAGTATCAAAATGTTTAAAAATCAACTTAAAATAACTTTGCTAATATACAAAATACATAATATTCATCTTAAACTGAAAGGTGCACAGAAAATTGGACACTGAAAAATCTCTTATGCTTCTGGGAAGCAGTGTACCATTTCCTAGGTGAATTATCAGGAATATTCACTTTCCTCTGAAGCGTTAGGCATAGGGCAAATCACAGCTCCAGAGGCAAGATACCAGACTTGATGGAGCTTAAGATCACTCTGGTGCAGTAAACCTGTGTTCCTGTAATATTCATTTAACGTCTATAATGCAGCATGCTGTGTTTCTGAACCTTCCACATAAAAGTAATACAGAGCTATATCAGTATTGTATAAAACATTCAAGTTTAAACAGCACAGCAAGTTTGGATGAAAAATTTACTGTGTCTGGTCTTTTTAGACAAGAATTTAAAAACTGCAGCTCTAGCAGTGGCAATATTGACGATTCCATTGTACTTTGTACAAGAGAAGATGTTTGCCTCAGTTTCCTTTGCCAAGTGTGTATTTAATTTATTAACATTTGTCAAAAAATTTACTTCTGCAAGATATTTCTAAAAATATAATTAAATTGTTCAAAATAATTCTGTCCTAGCAGGTATTATCAGTATACAGAGTTCCAATTGGGACCATAAAAAGATTAGGCCACAATCCTACAATGACGTACACACATGGTTAACTTTAAGTAGGTGATTGTCCCAATAACTTCATGTGTGTAAAGTTATGAATGTGTATCCTCATTAAAGCATCAGGGCTTAAAAGATCATATGTTGCTTGATAATTTATAAAATATGTTTGTAGTAATTATATTTATTTGGATATATTAAGATTCAGAACTTTATCAATTACTATTTTTCTACATACAGAAGCATCTCATCTATATTTTAACTGTCTTTTGAATATAACATATCATACAGAACAGAATTTTTACCTCATCAAAGAGATCACAGGATCTGTAGGGAGGACCTCTCTCAGATACAAAACCAGCAAATGACATTCCATTGAGAATTTTGGTGAGAAAGTCATTCTCAATCAAGCCTCGCTGGCCCAAAAAGGCCGCCTGCAGAGAATGTAAAGAGGGATTGGTCACTGTATAATTGAAAAGTTATGGAAACAAACAGAACATTTAATCAACTCCAGGTATATTAATAGCTTAAACCTTCTTCTGCTTATAATAAGTGCAAAGTGTTTTAAGAGACAATAGCTGTAAATGATCTTTTTTTAATAAAACAAAAGGTATTGGAACTGGAACATTCCCCCTTCTCTCTCATACACACTTTTAAAAATCATTCAAAAATCTGTTTTCTTTGAGCAATAAAACTTCTGGGAGGCAAAATACAAAATAATTCTAGTACTATTAAGTTGATTCTTTTAACTATAGGTAAACATTTCTTGAAATCCATGAATTACTTCCAAAATTGTATTAGTTTTAACTTTAAATATTAATATGTGGTCTTTGCTACGGATTTCATCTTAGACAAATCTGTTTGGAAATGCAACAGTAAATGGGCCTGGTTAAGCTGTACTGTACAGTGCCACCTCAGTAATATCAGAATGATATGATTTTACTATATCATATATAAAGAAACTTTTGTATGTCAGACACAAAATTAAATTCCAAGATTGTATATTTGAAGTTTGTTCAGAAAGCAACTATATGAGACTGATATGAATTCAAATCGTATGTGAAATATTCATAGGGTGACCAGATGTCCCGATTTTATAGGGTCAGTCCCGATTTTTGGGTCTTTTTCTTATATAGGCTCCTATTACTCCCCACCTCTGTCCAGATCTTTCACATTTGCTGTCTGGTTACCCTAAATATTCACTAAATACAGACAACCTTTTTTTCTCTTTTACCTTGTGAAAATGTATAACTGGTTCAGCATGAATTCTGATCAGCTGAAGGCATGACCTGTATCCTTGGAAAAGTTGTGCAAACAATCTCAGGAAAATTGCTCGTACTTCTTTATCCTGTAAATGATGATCAAATATGGTGTAAACAACTTTGCTTCTATAACTTCCTCCTCCCTCCCTACCCCCTCGCAAGTATAAAACTATGTCACAAACATTTGTAAAACAGAATAATCAATTTTCTCAGACAATATCCAAAACAGAACAGCAGTGTAGCAGCCAAATTGGAGAGTGACTGTGTGTGTTTGTGTGTGTGTGTGTGTGTGTGTGAGCTAGCAATTTAATTTGAGCATTATGCTCATCACTACCAATCCCTTTTGTCACTTCAGATTACTACATTTTATCTCAGCTAAGACCAGACTCTCAGTACAATCACTCTTCTTGCAGCCAACCTGCAGGCTGCTCTGGGACTTCAATTTTACAATAAGTCTCAAATGCACTTTAAAATATGACCTTTGATTTGAAAAATACAAGCACAAATGAATTCCAGGCCACAGTGAATCAAATTAAGATATGACATCAAGATTTAATCTTTCAATAGATTGTTTTGGAAGCAGACTTTTATGTTTCACTAAAGATTCTATAAAGAACAACTACTTTTTAGATGACGGCCCTGAATTTCATTAAGAATGTGCTCAGTGTTGTTCTCTCCTCTTACAAATTAATTTAGAATTCAATAAAAGCTACTCTTATTGGCAGATACACTATTTATTTCAGGGCCAGACTGCTCACCACAGTTAGCATCAAATAGTTTATAGTAACTTGTATAAATTATAGAAGTCATATACACAGGTGTCCACCACAAAACATTTATCAGTCTGTTTCTCTTATGTTAGACAAAAATTATACAGGATTGAATGCATCAATATTGTAATATGTACTACACCAATTTAAGACTACCCACAGAGGGTGAAATCCTGGCTTCAATGTTCAATGGAGCCAGGATTTCACCTCGACTTCAGGACTGAAAAATGAATCTTTTAAGGTGAAGTAAGAAATATAGAAAACCAGGAAAAATACTGAGTGAAGTTATGCTATTCTTATCTTTACTAAAGATTTCCATTTTATGTCTTAGATAGCATTACATACTCCTCCCCCCAAGTTTATGTTCATTAGAGCCCAATACAACATTAAGAAGCTAGAATTCTCTTTGTAGTGTATAAATACACCATGTGTATGCACAAACATAAAATATACTCCTAGTTTCCTTTTTTATTATAAAATTAATGAGTCCCATCTCTATTTCTCATACAGTCAGACCATTGCTGTAGCTGTTAGATAACCTACAGCATCTTTTTTTTTGTTAGACACAGAATGGCTTTCTTAAAGAGTTGAGCTGACAATGTTTTCCAAACAAAATTCTCTTTTATTCACTCTTCTAATCAGGCTTTTGTCTTCCAGTAATGGCTTCCTGAGATGATGGTATCAAATTTCATAAGTGAATGCAAGTATGTTGATTTCCAGGTTTATTCCACCTTTTTCAGTCCGTCACTAGAAGCTTGCATTCTGGAGCACTCTCAATCTCTTACTTCTCTCTTCTCCTCTATATTTAGTTCTCATTCACTTCCAACAGCACTGATTCTTCCTCTTCTTTCTTTGTTTTTTTATTTGTGAACTACTGGTCTTAGGAAATCTTAGTGATGCATAGTAATTTCTGGCTTGGCTCTCTCTCACTGGTTTAACACAGTCTCCAGCTCAAGCTTCCAAACCTGTGGTGAGTAGTTTATGGGTCTGTACAGTGCCCTCTCATGAACACCCTTCCCCCCACCACCTTATATTCTGTGGAATTTAAGTTTTCATTAAAAAAATTTCTAGTCTACAAAGTAACTACGTAACTGACAACTAGCCAGTCTTTGCAGGTTTAACAAATTTCAAGTAGGGGGAAAAATACTCTTTACCACCCAAACCTACGTTTAAAGAGACCTAGTCTAGTTCAATAATAGTAATAATAATACTTTGCACTTCTATAGTACCCTCTACCTGGGCAACATTGATTTAGCTCAGTAGATCATTTCTCTTTAACATACTAAAATAATGGAAAATAATAAATCTGTAGATTACTTTCTAACTTCTACTTCATATCATTTCTGTTTAAGGCCTGGTCTACACTACGAGTTTAGGTCGAATTTAGCAGCATTAAATCGAATTAAGCCTGGACACGTTCACACGGCTAAGTCCCTTTTTTCGACTTAAAGGGCCCTTTAAACCGGTTTCTTTACTCCACCTCCGACGAGGGGATTAGCGATAAAATCGGCCTTAGCGGGTCGGAATTGGGGTAGTGTGAACGGAATTCGACGTTATTGGCCTCCGGGAGCTATCCCACAGTGCTTCATTGTGACCACTCTGGACAGCACTCTCAACTCAGATGCACTGACCAGGTGACAGGAAAAGCTCCGCGAACGTTTGAATTTCATTTCCTGTTTGCCCAGCATGGAGAGCACAGGTGACCACGCAGAGCTCATCAGCACAGGTAACCGTGATGGAGTCCCAGGATCGCAAAAGAGCTCCATCATGGACCGAACGGGAGGTACGGGATCTGCTCGCCATATGGGGAGATGAATCAGTGCTAGCTGAACTCCGTAGCAGTAAACGAAATGGCAAAATATTAGAAAAGGTCTCCAAGGCCATGAAGGACAGAGGCCATAACAGGGACGCACAGCAGTGCCGCGTGAAAATTAAGGAGCTAAGGCAAGCCTACCACAAAGCCAGAGAGGCAAACGGAAGGTCCGGGGCAGAGCCACAAACATGCTGCTTCTACGCAGAGCTGCATGCCATGCTAGGGGGTGCAGCCACCACTACCCCAACCGTGTGCTTTGACTCCTTCAATGGAGAAACACACAGAGAAGCGGGTTCGGGGTACGAGGAAGATGAGGATGAAGATAATGTAGATAGCTCACAGCAGCAAGGAAGTGGAGAAACCGGTTTCCCCAACAGCCAGGATATGTTTATCACCCTGGACCTGGAACCAGTAACCCCCAAACTCACCCAAGGCGTGCTCCCAGACCCTGAGGGCACACAGGGGACCTCTGGTGAGCGTACCTTTGTAAATATTACACATGGTTTAAAAGCAAGCGTGTTTAATGATTAATGATTAATTTGCCCTGACAATCGCGGCCAGTACAGCTACTGGAAAAGTCTGTTAACGTGTATGGGGATGGAGCGGAAATCCTCCAGGGACATCTCCAGAAAGCTCTCCTTCATGTACTCCCAAAGCCTTTGCAAAAGGTTTCTGGGGAGGGCTGCCTTATCCCGTCCGCCATGGTAGGACACTTACCACGCCAGGCCAGTAGCACGTAGTCTGGAATCATTGCATAACAAAGCATGGCAGCGTATGGTCCCGGTGTTTGCTAGCCTGCAGACAACATCCATTCCTTATCTCTCTTTGTTATCCCCAGGAGAGTGATATCATTCACAGTCACCTGGTTGAAATGGGGCGATTTTATTAAGGGGACATTCAGAGGTGCCCGTTTCTGCTCTGCTGAACAGAAATGTTCCCCGCTGTTAGCCACGCGGTGGAGGAGAGGGGTGAAGTGATCATCCCCGAGAATTGGGTGTGGGGGGGGTTAGTTGGGTTTGTGCTGCATGTTAACCCGGAAACCGCAGCCCCTCCTTTTACATTGCAAACCCATTTTAAATGGCCAACCCAACGGGTGCTTGGTATGGGAAATGAGGGCGCTACTGTTTGAAACCATTCCCACGTTAAGGTTAAAAAAGCCAAAAGACTGTGGCTTACCATGGCTGCCTGCAAGCCGAAATCTGTTGCCTGGCACTGCGTGAGTGATCTCTCACACCAAACCAGCAGGCCCGCAATATAAGAGGAAAAATGCGACCTTGTAACGAAAGCACATGTGCTGTGTAATGTGAACAGCAAAATTTAACGTGAAAGAGTGTACCCATTGTTCTCTAAAATGTGTCTTTTTTAACCACCTCTCCTTTCTCCTCCACCAGCTGCAAATGTTTCTCCTTCACAGAGGCTTAGATTAGAAGGAGAAAACGGCGGACTCGGGATGATATGTTCACGGAACTCCAGATGTCCTCCCATGCTGACAGAGCACAGCAGAATGCGTGGAGGCAGTCAATGTCAGACTACAGAAAAGCACAATATGAACGAGGGGAGAGGTGGCGGGCTGAATCACGGGATGAACAGAGCAAGTGGCGGGCCGAAGATGATAGGTGGCGTCAGCTTGCAGACAGAAGGCAAGAGTCGATGCTCCGGCTGCTGGAGCATCAAACTGATATGCTCCAGCGTATGGTTGAGCTGCAGGAAAGGCAGCAGGAGCAGAGACCGCCGCTACAGCCCCTGTGTAACCAACAGCCCTCCTCCCCAAGTTCCATAGCCTCCTCACCCAGACGCCCAAGAACACGGTGGGGGGGCCTCCGGCCACCAAGTCACTCCACCCCAGATGATTGCCCGAGCATCAGAAGGCTGGCCTTCAATAAGAGTTAAAGTTTTAAACTACAGTGTGTCCTTTTCCTTCCCTCCTTCCCCACCTATCCCGGGCTACCTTGGCAATTATCCCCTAGCTGTGTGATGAATTAATAAAGAATGCATGAATGTGAAGTAACAATGACTTTATTGCCTCTGCAAGCGGTGCTCGAGGGGGGGAGGGGAGGGTGGTTGGTTTACAGGGAAGTAGAGTGAACCGGGTGGGGGGGGCGGAGGGTTCATCACGGAGAAACAAACAGAAGTTTCACACCGTAGCCTGGCCAGTCACAAAACTCATTTTCAAAGCTTCTCTGATGCGCACCACACCCTGCTGTGCTCTTCTAACCGCCCTGGTGTCTGGCTGCGTGTAATCAGCGGCCAGGCGATTTGCCTCAACCTCCCACCCCGCCATAAATGTCTCCCCCTTACTCTCACAGATATTGTGGAGCGCACAGCAAGCAGCAATAACAATGGGGATATTCTTTTCGCTGAGGTCTGAGTGAGTCAGTAAGTTGCGCCAGCGCGCTTTTAAACGTCCAAATGCACATTCCACCACCATTCGGCACTTGCTCAGCCTGTAGTTGAACAGGTCCTGACTCCTGTCCAGGCTGCCTGTGTACGGCTTCATGAGCCACGGCATTAAGGGGTAGGCTGGGTCCCCAAGGATCACGATAGGCATTTCAACATCCCCAACGGTTAGTTTCTGGTCCAGGAAGAAAGTCCCTTCCTCCAGCTTTCGAAACAGACCAGAGTGCCTGAAGACGCGAGCATCATGTACCTTTCCCGGCCATCCCACGTTGATGTTGGTGAAACGTCCCTTGTGATCCACCAGGGCTTGCAGCAGCATTGAAAAGTACCCCTTGCAGTTTATGTACTCGGTGGCTTGGTGCTCTGGTGACAAGATAGGGATATGGGTTCCGTCTATTGCCCCACCACAGTTTGGGAATCCCATTGCAGCAAAGCCATCCACTATGGCCTGCACGTTTCCCAGAGTCACTACCCTTGATATCAGCAGGTCTTTGATTGCCCTGGCAACTTGGATCACAGCAGCCCCCACAGTAGATTTGCCCACTCCAAATTGATTCCCGACTGACCGGTAGCTGTCTGGCGTTGCAAGCTTCCACAGGGCTATCGCCAGTCGCTTCTCAACTGTCAGGGCTGCTCTCATCCTGGTATTCTGGCGCTTCAGGGCAGGGGAAAGCAAATCACAAAGTTCCATGAAAGTGCCCTTATGCATGCGAAAGTTTCGCAGCCACTGGGAATCGTCCCACACCTGCAACACGATGCGGTCCCACCAGTCTGTGCTTGTTTCCCGGGCCCAGAATCGGCATTCCATGGCATGAACCTGCCCCAGTAACACCATGATTTCCACACTGCTGGGGCCTGTGCCTTGTGAGAGGTCTATGTCCATGTCAATTTCCTCATCACTCTCGTCGCCGCGCTGCAATCGCCTCCTCGACTGGTCTTGGTTTTGCTTTGGCATGTCCTGGCTCTGCATATACTGCAGGACAATGCGCGTGGTGTTCATAATTGCCGCGGTGATCACTGAGCGGGCTCCATGATCCCAGTGCTATGGCGTCTGGTCTGAAAAAAGGCGCGAAACTAGTATCTGACGGACGGAGGGAGGGAGGGAGGGAGGGGCAAGTGACAACATGGTGTACAGGTACAGGGAATTAAAATCAACAAAGGTGGCTGTGCATCAGGGAGAAACACAAACAACTGTCACACAGAATGGCCCCCCCAAAGATTGAACTCAAAACCCTGGGTTTAGCAGGCCGTTGATTTCACGGAGGGAGGGGGAAGCAAATGAATACAGAACAAATCTATTTTTTACATCTTAAGCTGGCAGACGACGGTGCAGCATGACTGATAGCCCTCGGCATCTTCTGGGTGCTTGGCAGAAAATACTGGGCGCTTGGCAGAAAATAGCGTACTACGACTGATAGCCATCATCGTCATTGGGAAGGCAGTGACTGGGGGACATACGGAGTTTCAGCCACTGCAGTACGACGACGACGACGACGGATACCAGTCGTAATACACCATCTTCTACCAAAAGGCAAGGGGCTGCTGCTGTGTAGCAATGCAGCCCCACGTCTGCCAGCCCCACGTCTGCCAGCACCCAAATCGCCGATGAAGGCTACCAGTCATACTGCACCGTCTACTGCCAAAAGGCAATTAGCTGCTGCTGTGTAGCAATGCAGTACCACGTCTGCCAGCACCCAGATGACACATGGTGACGGTGAGCTGAGCTGAGCTGAGCAGGCTCCATGCTTGGCGTGGTATGTTGTCTGCACAGGTAACCCAGGTAAAAAGGCGCGAATCGATTGTCTGCCGTTGCTCTGACGGAGGGGGAGGGGCCTGACAACATGTACCCAGAACCCCCCGCGACACTGTTTTGCATCATTCAGGCATTGGGATCTCAACCCAGAATTCCAATGGGCGGCGGAGACCGCGGGAACTGTGGGATAGCTACCCATAGTGCAACGCTCCAGAAGTCGACGCTAGCCTCGGTACTGTGGACGCGGTCCGCTGACTTAATGCACTTAGAGCATTTTATGTGGGGACACACACAATCGGCTGTATACAACCGATTTCTATAAAACTAGCTTCTATAAATTCGACCTAATTTCGTAGTGTAGACATACCCTAAGAGAAAGAAGTGAATATTTATAGTATTTCCTAGCTAAAGAACTTGTTCCTCCTCATATATATTGTAGAAGAATAGAGAAAAGTAACTACAGAAATCTAGCTTCTTAAAAGAAGCTTATTCTAAAAACTTAATATTTTTCTATTTATTACAAAGTCAGAAATAATATGTCTTACCAGCATTTTTGAGTGCGATAGACCTGTTCGTGGTGGAGGGAATGCATAATCTGCCGTTTCCAAATCGGGGTGTAAAACCTATAACATTTTTTAATTAATGAAAATAATTGTTAAAACGTGAATACAAATTAAATTGTTAACTTTTTTCCTGGTCTTATTTAATTTTTGTTAATACTCATTGCACTGTAAACACTTTAAAAATGATGCACACACAATTAAACCCTAAATACTACACAAAAATTAGGAATTAAAACGTCCTTGTTCAATTGATGGAATACGGGGAGTATTTGCAATAGATTTTAGTAGGTGTGGAAAGCCAGGGTTGTCATCTTAAATGTCATAAGCAGCATTGTTAAAGTTTGTGCCATCACTATTATTTCTAACTGGTTTTGATTTGCAACTCCTGTATTGCAGGGGCTTATAACTGCAAAACATAAATATCTCTGGGATGAAATTTTTGAAAAAATTCTAAACCCAGAAAGGAATTTTTTGGAGTATAATGTAGCAAGGAAAATGTTTTAGGTTTTTTGCTTATTTTGCCTTTTTAACAGTAAATCCTGATTTTTCTGTTCCTTTGTGCACAGCATTTTCTTTCGTAGAATTCAACAGGAATTTTATATAAACACTTGCTGGTAGGGCCAGAACAGAACTGAAGGTACACTCATTTAAATTACTTTTGCACTTCTGTATCCAGAAAATGGATTACATTTTCAGTGAGATTTGTCAGGTCATTAGTCAATAAAGAAATTATTTTTATTAGTAACAACAACAATTACGTGCACTCCTTGAACATCTTTTGTCCAACCATCTCAAAGCATTTAGTAAATATTAAGCAAGATTCCAAAGCCCTTGTGAAGTAGGTACGAATTATTATCCTGATTTTACATTTGTGTTAGCTGATGCAGAGAAGGTTAAGATATTTGCCTAAAGTCACACAGGGAGTCAGTGGCAGTCAAGAAAATAACTCAATTCTTCTGTAACTATATCTTATGGCATAAGCAAAACATAAACTACTGACTCTCTATTGCAGAGTATAGTCTAGATTTTCAAATGTGACTAGTGATTTTGGGTGCTCAAACTGACACACATTAAAGGGGCGTGATTTTCATACAAAGCTGAGCACCTGCTCTCTGAAAATCAGGCCCTTCCAAGGTGTTTTGAGTTAAGAGCCCATAACTAATGATATTGGATGCTTTGGTTATTTGAAAATCTTGGCGTATTTACTTACTCTGTTTAAAAGTACTGATAATGAAGCTGTAACTTAGCCCTGGTAACTCCTCAGTTTAAATTCTGGTGCTAAGCCACTACATTAAAATAAAATCTATTGTCACACACACACACAATCTGTAACTCCATCCAATTTTCTTTCATTTGTTTTCCTTTCTTCTTAGGGTTAAAACTTTTGCCTGAACCACACAGCAAAGCATGCACATGAAATGACCATGGACGAGCTCCAGTGTGGTCAACCCTATAAGAGAGAAGAGGAAGGAAAGATGGATGGAATGAGGAAAGAAAAGTGAAATAACCCAACCATTATAAAAGCTGTGTCGGGAAATCAGTCACCATATGAGGTTGGCCCTATTGGTCAGACCAAAAATGTTTGAAACAGCATTTTTCAGTTTTTGATAATGCTGGATAAAGGCAGTTCCTTTGATGACAGGAAGCTTGTGGTGATTCCTCAATGTGGAATGATAATCAAGCATAAAAAAATATTTACTGCAAAACTCAGCTCTTCTTTTACAATTGTTTTGCCAGGCATCACAGTAATTTAAAATTAAAATGGATTCTTGGAATTGTGCATTCAACTGAAAAGCCACCAAGGTAAATCATAATAAAGCAGCTGAATTTTCAGTAATAATTGTTAAAGCAAAATATTAAAACTGAGATGTATTTCCAAATGTACTATTAGGGAGAAAAACGGCACTTTCCCCTTCTCAGATGTTAAGAAGTCACAACATGCCATAAATGAATGAAGTCTTAGGATATGTGATAAGTGGAATTAGTTACAAATCAAGAAAGATAATAGTTCTTTTAAAAAGAGTTTTGTTAACAGAGTACTGTGTGCAATTCTAGGCATAGAAAGGTGAAAGGCATTTTTCTAAAAAGAGCAGAGGGAAGCAAAGAGTTCCTTATGAGGAAAGGCTTAATGAAGTGAACATGCTGGGTTCAACTTAACCCTGGCATAAGCTTCAATGGCTTCAACAGAGTTGAGCCCAATTACACCAAGGTAGGTTTGTATGTAAATAAATTAGGGAAAATCAATCTAAATGGAGCTACTATAAGTGGGATCATAACTGGTTGGAAAACCATTCCCAGAGAGTAGTTATCAGTGGTTCACAGTAATGCTGGAAGAGCATAACAAGTGGGGTCCCGCAGGTATCAGTTCTGGGTCCGGTTCTGTTCAATATCTTCATCAATGATTTAGATAATGGCATAGAGCAGGGGTGGGCAACCTGTGGCTCGTCAGGGTAATCCGCTGGCAGGCTGCCAGACAGTTTGTTTACATTTGCACGGCAGCCCACAGCTCCCAGTGGCCGCGGTTCGTCGTTCCCGGCCAATGGGAGCTGCGGGAAGCGGCGCAGGACGCAGGGACGTGCTGGCCGCAGCTTCCCGCAGCTCCCATTGGCCGGGAATGGTGAACTGCAGCCACTGGGAGTTGCGGATGGCCGTGCAAATGTAAACAGCCTGTCTGGCAGCCCACCAGCGGATTACCCTGATAGGCTGCGTGCAGCCAGTGGGCCGCAGGTTGCCCCCCACTGGCATAGAGCATACACTTACAAAGTTTGTGGATGATACGAAGCTGGGAGGGGTTGCAAGTGCTTTGGAGGATAGGATTATAATTCTAAATGATCTGGACAAACTGGAGAATGGTCAGAAGTAAACAGGATGAAATTCAATAAGGAGAAATGCAAAGTACTCCATTTAGGAAGGAACAATCAGTTGCACACATACAGAATTGGAAATGACTGCCTAGGAAGGAGTATTGCGGAAAGGGATCAGGAGTCATAGTGGACCACAAACTAAATATGAGTCAACAGTGTAACGCTGTTGCAAAAAAAAGCGAACATCATTCTGGGATGTATTAGTAGGCGTGTTGTAAGCAAGACACGAGAATTGTAAGCAAGACACTCTACTCCACACTGATTAGGCCTCAACTGGAGTATTGTGTCCAGTTCTGGGCGCCACATTTCAGGAAAGATGTGGACAACTTGAAGACAGTCCAGAGAAGAGCAGCAAAAATTATTTAAAGGTCTAGAAAACATGACCTCTGAGGGAAGATTGAAAAAATTGGGTTTGTTTAGTCTGGAAAAGAGAAGACTGAGGGGGACATGACTACAGTTTTTAAGTACATAAAAGGTTGTTACAAGGAGGAGGGAGAAAAATTGTTTTCCTTAACTTCTGAGGATAGGACGAGAAGCAATGGGCTTAAATTGCAGCAAGGGAGGTTTAGTTGGACATTAGGAAAAACTTCCTAATTGTCAGGGTGGTTAAGCACTGGAATAAATTGCCCAGGGAGATTGTGGAATCTCCATCATTGGAGATTTTTAAGAGCAGGTTAGACAAACACCTGTCAGGGATGGTCTAGATAATAATTGTCCTGCCATGAGTGCAGGGGACTGGCCTAGATCACCTCTGAAGGCCCCTTCCAGTCCTAGGATTCTAAATCTGAGATGATGTTTAAGAGAAAAAATATATAAACCTCCAATATCATATCTGGGTATACCTGCATATAACAAAAATTGCTTGCCAAAGAGTAGACTGATGGGCCTTTAGGGCCCAGTGTAATCTCCATCTTTTAAATTCTAAGTATTTATGGTATTCACATACAATGCATTTAGGAGTTAATTCATCTTGCTTTTAAATCTTCATAAGTCATTTTCAAAATGTTTCATAATATTCAGAGATTTTATTTCTTCTTTTTACATTTTTAAAAAGATCTGGACAAGCTGATCAGGAAATGAGACGTACTAAAGAAAGAGCTGTTTGAGTTTGATGTAGCAGTGGCTCTGGGAGCTGAGATAGATGAATACATTCAGGAATTTTAATTGTGCCTCCATCCAGGTCTGCTATAATTACATCCAACTGAAAAAGAAAAACAAATATTTTATATATAGTATGTTCTCTGATGCACACAGTTAAACACCAAATGGATATTTCAGATTTTACGTATGATTTATCCTAAAATGAGTGAAGATAATATTACTTCACAATTCTATAGTGCCCTTAATGAAGGAACTTGACCACAAATAATATTAATGAATGTAACCTCAAAACACCTATGTGACTCAGAGAGAGAGAGGCCAAACTTTCAAGAGTGGCCTCTAGTTCTGGATGCCTCAGTTTTTGGGTCTCCAACTTGAGATAGCTTATGACTGAATTTCAGAAGTGCTGAGCAATCACAACTCCAAAAATGGAGGACCCCCAAAATCAAAGGATACCTTGGCAAATGTTGAATTGAATTGCTCAAGGTCACAACAGAAGTCTGAAGCAGAGTTGGAAATATATCCCTGTCTTGACTTTACAACCTGCATCTTAATCGCAAAATCATTCTTCTGAGTTTTTCCTTCCCTCACCCTATTTCCTTCTGACAGGTTATATTGGTATTTGTAGAAGAACTTACAACAGGTTCAATTAATTGGTGTGAGTTTTTTTGCCCATTACTGATTGTCCTGCTTTATCTACTGGTACTTTTATTCCTGGGGGAATTCTGTGTCACTGTGTGTGTGCAAAATCCATGGCCTCCGCAGATTTCTTTGCTTCCCCGCAGAAAAATGGCTTCTGAAGGGGAAGCAAAGGGAAGCTGCAAAAGCGGTCATGCACCCCTGCCTGCACTGTTTGGGCACCTGGTGCAGCCAGTAGAGACATAAATCACCGCCGGGACAGGAGGGCTGGGCAATCATGTGTTTGAGAGAGAGAGATACTCTGTCCCCTCTCAATCGCTATTGCGGCATGCTCGGGGTGAAAGGACAGGGCTTTGGGGTGTTTCTGGGGAGGTAGGAGTGTCTCCTCAGGCAGAGCAGAATATAGCAGCTTGCCTGCTTAGTGAATTGTTCCCATTGTTCTTAGTGAATTCCCCCAGGAGTATAAAACAGGTCTAAAAATTTTAAGGCTCCTTGCATTGTCAAAGTGGTGTAAAGGAGTCTTATTGTACAGGACAGTGTGTCCTTATAAATGTTTATGGTGCTTTAGTGATTAGAATTGGTCTAAATTTTTGGACTGAAAAAATTTCCTATCAAAATGTGCTCCATGAATTGTTTGCTACTGACCTTTCTGGAGATGGTCAGTAGCCAATATAAATTGTGAGTTTGAGTCCCCAGCCCTCGCTTACTTTTCAGTTGCCTATGATGTAACACTGAGCATATGGCTGCATATATTTGTTGACTAATAACTAGCAGTAAAGGGTCAATACTAGTTACATTACTATTACAGAGGAGGCTTGGGGGATTTCCTCCAATGCTCCCCACTCCCTTTCTTCATCCATTGTATTGTAGTTAAAAATAATTTAAACCAGCGCGATTATATTTATTTTTTAAACAAATAAATATGCAGAATTTTAACATATTGTGTGCAAAATTAATTTTTTTGGTGCAGAATTCCCCCAGGAGTATACTTTGTATGGCTATGAATAGCTTAATCTATAATGCTTGAAGCACAAAAAATTCTCTACACAAATATCATATTTGACACCATGACTGTACATATTCTTTTTAGGCATACTTACAAGCTCATGAATGTCAGCACAAAAGATGGAATGTACACCAATAATGAAAGGCGTTGGTGAACTGAGAACTTCTAGCAGCTGTGCAGGGAGAATTGGAATATAGGGATAACTGTGAAGAGAATTAATAACAAATTATGCTTTTTGTCTGCCCCATTACATGAAGTCTTTCTTTACCTTCCTGCCACCTATTATAACTACTTCATAATTTGTCAATTAAAATTCTGGGGCATTCAGTACATCAACTATAAAGTACCATACTCAAAGTTATAAGGACATTCTGGCATGAAAATATAAAGAAGTCCATTATCACAAGGGGCTTGTAATTCCTTTATAAAAATCTATCACAAATAGATAAACTGTTTTTGAATATGCACGTAAACTAAGAAGAAAAGACAAAAAAGAATATTCATAGTAATCTATCTAGGCTCTTATATGGTGCCCATTAATGTGATAAATGTGTACAAAGAGATTATTATTGCACTAGAGACATTAGATCTGTTATGGAATGCACACTAAGTTTTAAAAACATAGTACTTTTGAAGTAAAGCATGCAGTACAATATATAATGCTAATTACTGCTTTTGTACAGTGTCACATAATAATGAAATTCCCAAATGTAGAGTTTAGTGATGCAGACAATGTTTACTTAGGACTAAACTGAGAACACTGTACTCATGTTACTTGTGATCTGAGTCATATTTAAACATGATCTAAATTAAAAAAAATTGTAACATCACTGACACATGGCTCTCCAAGGTTGATTTTCACATGGGAAATTTCACAAATATTTTAACATTAAGGAACCATATTTCAAAATTCACTTTCAATCTGTTACAAAGTTTTTCTATTGTTGTTTAAGATACAAACCTGTCTTTGAACTATTTTGAACAAATACAAGAACTCTGCATACTCAATGTTAGAAGTAGCTTTTGCAGACACTTGCTTTAGAATTACACTTCTTTCATTTGTGCAACTAAAAATATATCTACACTGCAATTGGAGGTGGGTCTGCAGCTCAGGTAGGCATACTCGCACTACCTTTGAGCTACCAAACCTACCTAAAAATAACAGTGAAGACATGGTGGCACAGACCCCAGGACGGGCTAGCAATGTAAATACATTATTGAGGGTTCCCAGTGGGCTTGTTCAGCTTGCACTGCTGCATCTTCACTGCTACTTTTAGCCATGCTAGGTAGATTAAAGCTAGCACGGATATGCCTACCCCAGCTGTGATGGCACCTCTAACTGTTGCCCTCAGATGCTGATACACTACCTTTTGACCTAAAAAACTGGGTTCAAATGTGGCTTTTTTCACAAGGAATTAATTTGTTGATTGCAGTGTAGTCCATAGTGGACATTTGTACACCTTACAAAACTATCGCACAAAATGGCACAAGTGTCAGCCTCTGCTCGTGGACCGTGACTGTATTAGAAAAAGAGATTTATAATCAGGTACTATTGCTGGCAAGGTGTCTACACCGTATTTTTGTTAAATTACATACAATTTACATTGAAATGGATTAAATGAGAGTCTGATCGATGAAGTACACAAACGGTAAGACCAAATGTCTGATCCTGAAAGCCTTTCCTTATGTGGGTAATCATTATTCATGAAAACAGTTCATTAACTTCAATGGCACAACTTGCATGAGTAAAGATAACTTGTATAAATACAGGTTTTCAACATCAAGTCCAAAGTGTCAAAGTTGTCTAACAAAACTCACCTATATTTGAGAGGAAACATTAAAGACTCCAGTGCTCTACAGGCATCACTGAGCCTTTGAAAACTTGCAGAGTGAAAGAGAACCTTATTTTCTGTAAGGACCGCACAGAACAAGCTCAGCACATTTTGGATTCCTTTAAAAAAAAAAAAAAGTGTGCTTTACAAATGATAAACCCATAGCCAAAACAGAACAAAGAATGAAAATGAAAAATTGTTAAGAATTCTTGGAGTCACTGGAGGAAAATTTGTAATAAGTATGCAAATGCCTTATCCTGTGATTTTTCTGCCTTTTCTTTGACTGTCAGTTTTGTTTTCTATTTTTCAAGTTCGTATAACACCCAGTGAATAATTTCCAGTAGTTCAAATATTTTCTATTACACCTCCTTTTCTATCCCATTTCCAAGGATTTTCTCTTCTGAAAACAATCCTAACAGTGCTTAACAATGACCGCAAATGGTAGTATGCAAAGGTAAACATGACTCTAGAGCCCATTGTTGGTGGTTGATCCAAGCTCAACTTCTGAACCTTTATGTAATATCTCTGTGAGTATTGCTGATCATGGACAAAGAGCTCATGAGGTTTGTCTAGTAAACACATTAATACTTTTATCTGTAAAAGTGTTTTCTGTGATTCATTAGGTTAAACAAAGGCCAGTAAGGCCTAGACACTATATTTGTGATTGGAAGGAGTTAAAGAGGAGCTGACTGTCTAAACAAGCCCTGCAAGATTGAGGACAAGACACATGAATCCGATTAAACTGGTTTTGGTAAGATGGTATAATGGATAACCTGTTGCATAGGTTACAAAGCAATGTACTCCTGGGAAAGACCAAAAAAATGCATTTCCTTTATACAAAAAGAGTCCCATCCTTTTAAATAGATGTGTCTTTGAGATATGCTAGAAATAATGAAATTTCTTGAGAAATGCTGGAATTCATAAAATTTCCTGAGGACATAGACTGTATTGTCACTAAGAGGGCTTGCATCACATATGTAGGGTTTCTCGTTACCTTCCTAATAAAGATGGGGGGGGGGGGGGAGTTGTTCACAGGCAATTTTCTGTAGTGATCTTCTAAAACAGCATAGTTTTGCCTAACTAAATTTTATTTAATGCTTCTTAAAATCAGTTTATATTTTCTGTATTGCCAGAAAAATTAGTTTCTCTTTAAAAAAACCTGAGATTTGGAGCCTGTTACATTGGGGGTAAGCACTTCATTCTGATTTCTGAGACGGCTGAGTCAAGAGTAACATAATGGTTTGTGGTTACAAACTCCATCCACATAGTACCAAAAAGGGGCTGGCATAAGCCAATGTAAACATGGAGAGACTCAAGCAACCTGAAGGATGGTAAGCCTTGTTGCAAATATGAATGCAGAACAGTTTACTTTAAAACATAGGTGATACCCTCCAATTGTTTGTATCTAATGAGTGCACCGGCAATGTCACGATTATATTCTGAAGAGTTAGATCTACTACTTTTCTTTCATCTACCTCTTGGAAGTTAATCTACCCTCCCACCCACTGAGAGATGGAAAAAAAGATTAGAAAAATGACTGGGTTGGCTGGAAGTTCATATTGTCCTAGTTGAAGAAATAGTAAGTTATGAATCTATAAGTCTTATTTGTATGGTATACTAATTCTCCAAAGAGGTGTTTTATTCAGGTCTTCAAAATATTTTAATGACAATCTATAGCACTGTAAAATAATAAAAACCCATTTGTTAATTGTGCAGCACCTTTAACAGACCATGAAATCACTGGCTCAAAAAAGTTCTGAATGAGCTACTGAACCCATGTCTCTTCTCAGGTGTCTTTTCATCTGTAAGTGAAAGTTCAGACAGCATTCCTTAGAGAGAGCAAGTAAAGACCAAAATTCACACACTTCTAAAACTGTTTATAAGCTGCAGACTCCAGCACAATCACTAGCAGTATCTAGGCCAGGGGTAAGCAACCTATGGCACATGTGCCAAAGGCGGCACACGAGCTGATTTTCAGTGGCACTCATACTGCCTGGGTCCTGGCCTCTGGTTCGGGGGGCTCTGCATTTTAATTTAATTTTAAATGAAGCTTCTTAAACATTTTAAAAACCTTGTTTAATTTATATACAACAATATTTTAGTTATATATTATAGACTTATAGAAAGTGTTTGTCAGTCTGTTTGTTTGGTTGTTTGAAGGACCGTGTGCTGTGGCTGACAGTTGG